TGTGTGAAAACACTGAAAGGACACAGCAACTATGTGTTCTGCTGTAACTTCAACCCACAGTCCAACCTTATTGTCTCAGGCTCAGTAAGTTATGACTTTTAATTACTATATCACATGTGAATTGATCTTTTTAATGCATTTTCCCCTTTGTTCCAATGTCCTAGCATCCATCATTCGCAGTGTGTCGTTAGATGACACTTCAATCGTGCAGTTACATGAATTAGTTTCTCAGTACAGTATGTTTGTGAGACGTTAAGGAAAGGCGCTCATTTTTTATAGATAAAAGAAATATATATAAAATTATTTTTATATTTAAGAATATTATGACAAATTTCTTTCCAGTTTGATGAGAGTGTACGAATTTGGGACGTTAAAACTGGCAAGTGCTTAAAAACCCTTCCAGCCCATTCGGATCCAGTCAGTGCTGTTAATTTCAACCGAGATGGCACACTTATTGTTTCTAGTAGTTATGATGGGTTATGGTAAGTTGTGCAATTTCAGTTGTATTTATTTATTTATTCATTTTATTATTTTTATAAATATATTTTGTTTATTTATTTTTTTTTTTCAGTATGTGTCCTGAACACATCGCGTTATAAAAGAGACAGTCAAACAGACATACGATAAATATGATAAACAAAAAGTTGTATTTATCGAGGATTACAAAACCTGGACTAAAAGAGTTTAGTTTTGAAATGCTCATTATCTTGCACAGCTTGTAGCAGATACTTTATTTCTTCCATTGGAAATGAATAAAAGATAAATTATGCAAAGAATATACACCAGATATACTGTACACTAAGCAGAGAAGAAATTAAAGCCTGAACAGCAATTTTTTGGTACTTAAAAGTTTTAGTTATGTATGTTGAAAGATCAAATACAATTATATGTAATTTGAGTAGTAATAAATGATACCTATTTTTTATTATTAAGCATTACTCTTAATACAATAGGGTTGTTTGCTACTTAGGAATCAGAGGTCTTTATATGTATCATTTAAAAATATTAAAATGAAATAGAGTTTTGATTTTTAAAGGCAATTAAGCAGTATTTTTATGTAAATATTTAGATACAAGTTAGAGCCTAGATTTTGCAAAAGGTATATTAACTAATTAATACTTTACTTCATTAGGACCTCATGTCGAAAGACTAATGTTTTCATGCCATTAGCAAACACAATTCTTTTAATTCTCTTTTCAATTCCTTTCAGTCGAATCTGGGACACTACTTCTGGGCAGTGCCTCAAAACACTCATTGATGATGACAATCCGCCTGTCTCCTTTGTAAAGTTCTCTCCAAATGGAAAATATATACTGGCAGCAACCTTAGATAACACATTAAAACTCTGGGACTATAGTAAAGGCAAATGTCTCAAGACCTACACAGGGCACAAGAATGAAAAGTATTGCATATTTGCCAATTTCTCTGTAACAGGAGGAAAGGTGGGTACCATTTGTTATATGAGAAGAATTGTTGAATGTGTATGGAATGAGTGAATTGAGTGTGTATTGTTATGATAAACTATGGTAAAACAAAAGGATTATTGGTAGTAATGTTAAAGACAAATAATAATAATGATAATAGAAATACATTGGATGGCATGGGTGTCATGCCATACTGAGAATGGTCATTGTGCCAATATCTCAGTACAATCACAACTTACAGCCCATCTGTCATGTGGACTTTGCACTGTGGTGGCTGGATACTCTTAGCAAAATTTAGTTAAAAAGTAGCACTAAGGATTCATATTTTCAAACCTGCTTTTATTTGAAGCCACAAACCAAGTCTTTTTTGTGAATATATATCATGAAAGCGAGGGCACTGGTTTCTAGCAGGTGATGCCAACTTATTTACCTGTACCATAGAGTGTAGGTTTGTTGTGTTTGCCTACCATTGAGGCAGTGTCAGTAACAAAGATAATTATGATTTTGCTCAAATTCCCTACTGCATTTGAATGAATACAACTAAAGATATGGATGGATGATGCCTAATATTTGTTGGTAATGCAGAAACTACTATTACTTGTTTATTTATTTCTCTAATTCTCTCCATTTCAGTGGATTGTCTCTGGATCAGAAGATAACCTTATCTATATTTGGAATTTGCAAACCAAAGAAATTGTTCAGAAGTTAGAAGGCCATTCAGGTATGATACATGATTTTTTAATTCTGATTTTGAAGGGGGGATCTTTGATACACTTTTTATGTGTACGGAGGTCTCAAGTATCATCATCAAATTATTTATATAAACTGATATGTATTTTATATTAATTAATTGATCTGATGTTTCAGATGTTGTACTATGTACAGCCTGCCATCCGACACAGAACATCATTGCTTCAGGAGCATTAGAAAATGATAAAACAATCAAACTGTGGAAGAGTGACACTTAGAGGAACATTCTAGAAACCTTTTTTTCTCTTTCATTTATTTTTATTATGATTTCGTTATTTTTTTCATACCTTATGTCAAGAGTAATTTTGAAAGGGTGTTTTGAGTTA